GCTGTCCTCTGCACCCTGGGCTCGTCCTTAGTGCACATGGCGACCCTCCTTGGGGAAGCTGTCCTCTTCATCCTGGGCTCGTCCTTAGTGCACATCACTGCTTCTCTCAGCTTTTCTTTGTTCTGTCTCTCAATTCAGCAAGACTTCTGAAGGCACTGTTGGGTTCTTTAACACTGAATTTGGGGTTCTCCCAAATTTATTTTTGCTTCCAGATTAATTAAGCTTTGACTCTATAACTACATGAATGTGCCCAACTTCTTTAAAGACACTTCGAAATTTGACCTCCTTCACCTTTCTCTTATGAAAAGAAGGAAAGTGTGTACTCTCTCTAGTCCCTGCTACCCTCAGATCTACTCAGTCCCTTGCAATGGACCCTGTTCAGGTGTCGTCAGTTAAAATCCAGCTAAGAATGAATACAAATGTCAAGATAATTCATCTGGGCAGGGTAGGAGCCTGTGTGCTCAGCACACTGTGTATCTTGCTCATAACGATAAGCACTTAGGATGACAAGAATGTAAATAACCTTTGTACCAGAGATCCAACTCTGAACGTTTGCTAATGCTATGGCTTCCTTAAATCCAGTGGCCATGAAGGGAAAGTAAGTGGAGGAACATCACCTCCTTCCTGAAGAACAAAGAGTGAGAGATTTGGGGTGATTAAGTGAGAAAAGGAGTTCATTCCAGAAAGTCACTTAGTATGGGGCAAACCAGGCAGTGAGGATACATGGTAATCTGTGTGCTCTTCCTAACAAAAAGGGGGTCTAGGCTTGAGAGGTACAGTGCTGAGTCTAAAGAAGATCAGAATGTGAGCAAGTGTGATTTTAATCCCAAAGGCTCAAAATGCCAGCCCAAAGCACTTTATTATGCCAATGTCCTTGAGACCACAGCCAGTCTGTATTTTCAAAGAAACTGGACTTGGGCCCATATGGTTTTTTCCCAATGGTTTCTTTAAACACTTCCCCAGCCAACCCCTTATCACACTCTACCCTGGACCTCACCAGGGCGCCACTGCTGAGCAGGATCATGAAGATGATGAAGGTCTCAAACCAATTGTGCTCCACGATGAGGAAGCAGGTTTTCCGTAGGATCCACCAAGACTTGCCTAGACCTTCCTCAATGTTGACCTGGCAGCACTTGAACCGCTGGACACAACCTGGCACCAGTAGGAGAGGCACGTCAGACCTAGAAATGTGCCCTGTCCAGACCCACCCTCTCTTCTACCTCCTGGTGCCCAGTGCTGTTCCACGACACAGTCAGGAGTACAGTGGCTGAATCAGAATGTCTGATTGAGAAATGGAGAGGGTAGAGGGGCTGAGGCTATGGTGCAAAGGCTAATAGGCAAGGCCCTCTGGATTCAGGAACATGCCCTACAAAGAAGCAGTGAGAGGGAGGAGAAAATGGTAGTGAGGAGGCAGGCACAGCCATGACAGAATAGGCCTTGCTAATGGAAGCTTATGGGCTGATGCCAAGAGAAAACAGCCAATAAGAAGTTTGTGGAAATTTGTTATATGTGTGGGTCAGAATCAAACAGGGGAATAAACTTCCTTCGGAATGGTGGGGTGGGGAACAAATTTCTTGAAGATATCCACAGAGCCGCCCCTCACCAACCATTACCCTGGCAGCAATGTGTCTATGAGACTGTGAGGGTCACATGCCCATTCCTTTCCAACCCCTGATCACCTTCTGTGAAGCAGGCATCTGGATCCAAGTATTCCTCAGGCTGTTCCACAGGGACTTCTTCTACTTCTGGTTTGATATCGATGGTGCTTCCTTCGGAAGAGCTGGTATCATCCAGTTTCTAGATATGCAAGGAAAAGGGAGATGAAGCAACAACTACAGGTCTGCGCTACGCTGGTAACTCTACCTCTGGGAGGGATGAGGTGCCAGTTATGATTCTATTCCGTAATTCCTGTTACAACTGTGATGGGCAAACTACAGGGCCCCCATAACTTCTGTTGGAATGGGGCATAACACCAAAAGCCACTCACAAAGCTGGGTGCAGTGCCTCACACCTGTAATCCTAGTACAGTGAGAGGCCAAGGCTTGAGGTCAGGAGTTCAAGACCAGCCTGAGTGAGACCTCATCTCTACTAAAAATAGAAAAGTTAGCCAGGCACAATGGTGCATGTCTGTAGTCCCAGGTACTCAGGAGGATGAGGAGGGAGGAACTCCTGAGCCTAGGAGTTTGAGGTTTCTGGGAGCTATCATGACAATCCTGCACTCTAGCTGGGGAGGCAGAGCAACACCCTATCTCAAAATAAATAAATAGTCCCCCCCAAAATCCACAACCACTACCAACAAAAAAGACTCCCATTCACAGAATACAGTGATGCCCCCAACACGGCTGCATGTTGGTTTCCGGGATATGGTCCAGATTAATAGTAGGGAAGTATTTGAGGGTTTACTCTAGTCTGTCACTTAGATGATCCAGAGGTGACAGCATTATACCCAGAACTACCTCAGGAATCTACGTCACCTAGGAAAGGCCTAGAATGATACAGGGGTGGTGGGGGTGGGGTGGTGGGGATAATTCTCAAAGTGAACTCGCTATTCCAGAATTGCTCTACTAAGCCTATGGCTAATAAATCCCTAGGGCTGACAGAGCCCCATTTGCTCTCACGCAGGATCAAAGTTGGTTTCTAGGTTGGGACCTTACATCTTTGCTGCCTTCAGGATCTGACTCGCTGCTAACATCCTCTGTGTTGAGGTTCTCAAAATCAGACTCGCCTACAGCAATGGGCACCCGCACGGTCAAGTTGGGATTGTTGATGAAGGACATGTGGTCCTCATCAATGATGTATTTCTCCACGCTGCTGCCAATGCCACTGGTTGTGCCATTGCCATTCTTCTGGAAGTCCCCATTCCGGTGGATGTCTGCACCAGTGTGGTTGGCAATACAGTTGGCCTTCTTTTCATATAATTCATCCAGAGGCTTCACCTCATCAGCCTCACGCTGCTTGAAGTGGGCCTGCATGAAGGCATGCACCTTCACCTTGATCCAGGCCACACCCTTCTTGATGCGGATCACGGAGATCTGTAGGTTGTTCATTTCCCCATCGTCATCCGTGGCTGCCAGGTTGTCTGCACTGAAGGAGCTCAGGAGCAAGGCCAAGAACAGGTTCAACACCTGTACCAGCAGTAACGGAAAAAAGGAGCAAAAGTAGAATGATATTAGGAAAAGTTATCTGTTGACTTAGGAAGGGCTGCAAACGGGAAGCCAACAGACTTTATGTGACAGACTCAAAAGGTTCCATGGGATTGCATTTGTGTACATAGTATTTTAAATACTTATGTCACCAAGGGGGAATTTTGTTTGGTTTTGGTTGTATTTTTTTTTTTTTTTGAGACAGAGCTTCAAGCTGTCCCCCCTGGGTAGAGTGCTGTGGCAACATAGCTCACAGCAAACTCCAACTCCAGGGCTCAAGTGAGTCTCCTGCCTCAGCCTCTCAAGTTGCTGGGACCACAGGTGCCCACCACAACACCTGGCTATTTTTTGGTTGCAGCCATCAATGTTGTTTGGCGGGCCTGGGCTGGATTCGAACCCGCCACCTCAGGTGTATGTGGCTGGCACCTTAGCCACTTGAGCCACAGGCACTGAGCCTGGTTTTGCTTGTAATACAGGAGTTTAGCACCACTTTTCTTGGTTCTTTTATAGTTTTTACATATGTGTGTATATAAGTATATATGTATACATATATGCATATATGTATACATATATGCATATATGTATACACACACACACATATATACTCCAAAATATATTACTTCTTTTATAATCAGAAAAAGCAAAGGCCATATCCACTTTGGAAGAAAATTACCCCAAAATATAAACAATAAGCGCTATTGAGAAAGACCACAGAGTACACCGCCATGTGTCCTTGAGCTACAGATATCTTAGGGTATCACTGTTAGCAACAATTAGCCTTTAAGAAGTACACTTTCATACAGCACATCAAGCAGGCAGCACTGAAATATACTTCATGTCATCTTATTTTAAGAATGAATTTTGTTTGTTTTCTAACATTTAGAAAAATAAAATAGCTCTATGGCTAGATGCCGTGGCTCACATCTATAATCCCAACATTTTGGGAGGGTAAGGCAAGAGGATTGCTTGAGGCCAGGCATTTAAGATCACCTTGGTCAACATAACAAGACACTGCCACTACAAAAAAAAAAAGGTAAAAATTAGCAGGTTGTGATGGCCTGTGCTTGCAGTCCCACCTCCTCGGGAGGCTGCAGCAGGAGGCTCACTTGAGCCTAGGAGTCTGAGGTTGCTGTGAGTTATGAGGACACTACTGTACTCCAGCCTGGGTGATAGGGAGAGACCCTGTCTCTAAAAATAAATAAATACATAAATAAAATAGCTTTAACAAGATACTGATGGTGACTTTCATGTTCTGCTATATAGCCAACTGTCAAGGCATCAGACAAAAGCTTTATTTTAACTTCCTATTTTACTACATTGAACACTAATATTAGTTTATTTCTACTAAGATTTACTTTTGAGAAGTGGGAGAGGTGCTCACTTCTTGATTTACACTTGGTTTTTACTTTGTCATACTTTGGAAGAAGAGTAAGGCACACATTTTAGGTGGAGATAGCAGTTTGTGCAGAGTGGGAAGGTGAACACAAAAATGACTTTAGGTATTCACATTATCTGGGGCATTTGCAAAATTAAAAAGGAATATAGCTGGTAAAATGGGGGTGAGCTGGAGCGAGTACTAAAGGCCAGGCTGAGGGATTTGAATCTTATTTAATTAGATCCACCACTGGTTCTTGAGTAAAGGAGTCATAGATGAGTACAAAGATTTGAGGAAGTCATTCCTACTAGCTACATATGCGGGGTTGGGGGGAGAGGGGCTAGGAGTCAGGATGCTGTTACCTGCATGAGTTGGTAAGAGTTTGGATTAGGCTACAGAAATCCCAAATTCAGCATGCATAAGAATCTCACAGGGAAAGGGGTATGCATATTTGTTAAAAATACATATCTTCTTGGCCCACCCTGAAGAGATTCTGATTCAGAAGATCTGGTGTATGGTTTGGGACCTGGTCTTTTGTAATGAGTGAAACTCAGCTAATTATGACGCAGGTGGGTTTGAGAGTACTCTTTTAGAAATACTGGATGGATTACAAAACACAAAGGAAGGGGCAGATCTTACATACTATAAAGCAGTGGTTCTCAACCTTCCTGATGCCATGGCCCTTTCATACAGTTCCTATGGGTTGCAACCCACAGGTTCAGAACCGCTGCTATAAAGAAAGATGTATGTAAGACACATCAGATATTTTCTGAGAGTGGAGAGAAAAGAGGAAGATGACTCCAAAGTTACAGGTTCCCAGAAACCAGATGGGAAGAGGGACTAATGAGAGGGGAACCTGGCAGGGGGTCATCATGGGGTAAAGTTAGTAGCTCATTTTTCAGAGATAATAGCTATTAAGTGTTTAGGTAAAGACAGCCACAGGGAGATATCCTTGAGACAACTGAGAATAGGAGAGTGGAGAAAAGGTGGCCAGGTCAGGGTTGGAAATGTTGACCTCATCATACCAGAGGCAGCAGCTGTATTCACTGAAGCACAAGAGAATTAGAGGGAAAGGCAGTTAGGAAGAGAGAGCAGAAGGGACTGGGGAAACACCACTATAGCTATCAGAATAGGTCAAATGAAAGAACAGGCCAGCAGTAGCCTGTTCAGCTAGTGAGTGAGTAACTTCTGGCATGCTTTTTTATGGCAGAAGAGGGAAGAGAACTAATGTGGATGAGCTTGTAAAGGATCACAGAAGCTTGCCATCTTCCCATCCTTGCTCTACACTTGCAAGTGGGATTTGGGGGGCATGATCTGTAAAGTCATTATTTCTCAAACTTTACTGTGCATACGAATCACTGGAGGAGCTTGTTAAAAATGCAGATTCTGATCTAGTAGCTCTGGGTTGGAGCCTAAGATTCTGCATTTCTAACACATTCTCAAGTGATCAGAGCACACTTTGAGGAGCAAGGTGTTAAAATCTCCATTGGTGACTCCTTCTACATACAGAGGTTGAAGAGAGCAGGGGGACAGGAGAGTAAAGCAAGAAAGCGATTTGGCGCTTATACGAATTAAATAAAACCCTAAGATGGTTTAGATCAGTGTTCTCAATAGAGGGCCATTTTGCCTCCCAGGGGACATCTAGCAATATCTGGGGACATCTGGCAATATGTGGAGATATTTTTGGTTGTCACAACTCAGGAGATGCTATTGGCATCTAGTAGGTAGAGACCAGGGATGCTGCTAATTCCTACAATGCATAGGATGTCCACAACAAAGAATCAACAGTGCCAAGATAGAGAAATCCTGGTTCAAAAAGGAAGTTTTTTGTGTTAATAGTTGAAAGAGTACAAACTCTGAAGTCTAGGTTTATTTTATTTTTTATTTTTTTTTGAGATAGAGCTTCAAGCTATCTCCCTCAGTAGAGTGCTGTGGCATCACAGCTCACAGCAACCTCCAACTCCTGGGCTCAAGTGAGTCTTCTACCTCAGTCTCCCAAGTAGCTGGGACCACAGGCACCCGCCACAACACCTGGCTATTTTTTGGTTGCAGCTGTCATTGTTGTTTTTTGGCAGGCCTGGGCTGGATTCAAACCCGCCACTTTAGGTGTATGTGGCTGGCGCCTTAGCCACTTGAGCCACAGGCGCCTAGCCCGAAGTCTAGGTTTAAATACAAAAATATCTCTTAACTTTGCTGAGTTTGTTTTCTTAACTATGAAAAGAGGTTGACGGGTTATGGTGGGTCATCACTAAGTAGGTACTCTGCAAATACCAGGGTCCTCTCCTTAATTTGTACCTTAGCATTCCTGGGTCAAGAAAATAAAAATTAACAGACATGGGAGGCAGCAGAAAGACTAAACAGTTTGGGCTTCTGGCTCAATGAAGGGCAGGATATTCAGGACAAGGAACAAAAATATCTACAAATTAGTACTAACCACCAAGTTGCCAATCACCATGACCATCATAAAGACAATGAGGCACATGGCCTGGCCTGCCACCTCCATGCAGTCCCACATGGTCTCAATCCACTCTCCGCACAACACTCGAAAGACAATGAGGAAGGAATGGAAAAAGTCATGCATATGCCAGCGAGGAAGTTCACAGTCCTGGTTGATCTTGCAGACACACTCTTTGTAGCTTTTTCCAAAGAGTTGCATCCCCACTACGGCGAAGATGAAGACTATAATCGCCAGCACTAAGGTCAGGTTGCCTAGGGCACCCACTGAATTTCCGATAATCTTGATTAGCATGTTCAGGGTGGGCCAGGATTTGGCCAATTTGAAGACTCGGAGCTAAGGAAAAATAAGACAAACAAAAACAAATGATATTCAATCTTTCTCACCACATGGCTAAAATAAAAACAAAAAAATATTTAGTGAGTTCAAATTAAATTTATTGAGCACCCTTGCAAATTCCCAGGACTTTCTAATAGTGTCTCAGGCTAAAAGGGGAGAAACTGAGGCATAGATAAGGGAAAACTGATTAATTTTACAGTAAGTGAAAAGTTTAGAACTAGGAATCAAGAATGTTATCTTAGTTTCCTGTATTAATCCTGAGTTAATCTGCTTTTTTTTTGGAGGCAGAGTCTCATTTTGTCACCCTCGGTAGAGTGCTGTGGTGTCACAGCTCACAGCAACCTCCAACTCTTGGGCTTAAGTGATTCTCTGGCCTCAGCCTCCCAAGAAGCTGAGACTACAGGTGTCTGCCACAACGCCCAGCTATTTTTTGTTGCAGTTGCCACTGCTGTTTTAGCTGGCTGGGTCCGGGTGCGAACCTGCCACCCTCAGTACATGGGGCTGGCGCCCTCCTCACTGAGCTACAGGCACCGCCCCCTGAGCCAATCTACTTTATAAAAACTCATACATGAACACATCCCTTTCCTATTGATTTTTTTTTCTCCTTGACTTCTCAAAGGACAAGTCAAGGAAAATGTGATTTGTAGGAAACCAAAAGATTAGTATGGTAAGGACAGTGAAAAAAAAATTGATGTCCTTAAAAATGCAAACATTTAAAAATTCTAAGTATTTCTTTTGCCAGTAAATAACCAATAGCTGATATGAAACTATGAGATATGCTTGGAATAACTTAGAGGAAAAGCACTACTCCCAAATTGGGGAGGTTCCATATATATCGAACAGCTCATGAAAAGGGCCTATACTGTTATGAATTCAGATGACAGAACTTTTGGTACTTGTCAATCATGAAATTTCTAGATTCTGTAATAATTTATTACAAGGTCTTGGCTACCAGCCTGAGAATTATTATGCATAAAGGTCATGATAGTTTGGCTGATGGACTTACAGTAATAAGATCATCATTAGATGTCATAAGCTAACAACTAACATACCACGTAGTAGGAAATTTGGTAAGTGGCAACAGCACTGATTTGAACATTTTAACTGAAAACTTCAGTCTTATCTGAGAGCTTGAAGTCCACCAGGTAGTTTCCTTATGCATATATATCTGGGCCACTCTTTTTTTCCCACTGATTGTCTTTTAACTTATTAAAAATACTAGTTCTAAGGCTTTTATTTCTCAATCTTTCCTTTTGCCATCTAGATAATAAGAACTATTCTCAAAAAAATCTACCGTGAGCTGGATCCTAGCCAAAGAGTAGCAAGCAGAGGTTCCAGAAACTTGGCAGATATTATTTGTGACTTGAGGTGAGTGAAATTTGTTTTACAAATAATTTCACTCTATTCCAATTCTCTTTCTTAGAACTGCTGAATATCCCAATGGAAATCTTTTAAATCTTTGTAGTTGCAAGTACTTGGGTATTTTCCCAATACAGAGAGAAAAACCTAAGCCCTTTCTCATGCCAGTTCTCGTGTACTAGTAGTGACCTTTGTCTGACTGGAATACCCTCAAGGTCACTCAGTACTTTGAGGGACTTAATCAGGACCTCACTTAGCCTATGTACGAACAATTGTTTTGAGGATATCATTAGCTATTCTTTCAGAGTCATTTTAGTGATTTAAACATTAAGTTCTTAGAACACATTATTGATAAAAACTCCTTAGCTAATGGAATGGAAAATAAGGCTGATGTTTGACAACTAATTAAGATACTACAGATGCTCCTTAACTTATGATGGGGTTAGGTCTCAATAAATCCATCCTAAGTTGAAAATGTTTTAAGTCAAAAAATGTATTTAATACACCTGACCTACCAAACCCCGTAGTTTAGCTCAGCCTACTTCAAACATGCTCAGAACACTTATATTAGCTTATGGTTGGGCAAAATCATATAACACAAAGCCTATTTTATAATGAAGTGAATATCTCAGGTACTTATTGAATATTGTAATAAAAGTGAAAACAGGATGGTTGTATGCATACTTGAAGTATATTTTCTACTGAATTTGCATGGCTTTCATAACATCGTTAAATTGAAAAACCATGAGTTGAACAATTCTAAGTTGGGGTGTACCTGCATAAAAAAAATTATTATATTTTCATTTTCTGGAAAGAGCCACCATGATAGAAGAAATGAAGATAGCCATCTTTGATCAAGGAGAAATTCTTGCCAAGCCAGGGAGATATTCAGATAAAAAAAATGGGTTCACTAGCAAACCTAAATTAGGCCTCAGAATGGCCTGAGGGAGTCCTTTGTTTTCTTTTCTTTTTTTTTTTTTTTTTTGAGACGGCTCCTCAAGCTATCCCCCTGGGTAGAGTGCCATGGCATCACGCTCACAGCAACCTCCAACTCCTGGGCTCAAGCGAGTCTCCTGCCTCAGCCTCCCAAGTAGCTGGGACTACAGGCGGCCGCCCCCACGCCTGGCCATTTTTTGGTTGCAGCCATCATTGTTGTTTGGCGGGCCGGGCTGGGGATTCGAACCCGCCACCTTGGGTGTATGTGGCTGGCGCCTTAGCCGCTTGAGCCACAGACGCCGAGCCGGAGTCCTTTGTTTTCATCTGTTAGATTAAGCATTATTTTCTGAGGAGCTTCCTAAAATAAATTTCTCTTTGTTTATTGATCTTGAAAGCTAACTTACATATTAAGTATTATATTAGGTATTTTAGGAAAGATTTCAATATTTCAGTAGCTAATACAAAGAAATACCCAACCAAATTGGGAGTAAAATACAACTAACGATATTTTTTTGTTGTTGAAGTTGTCATTGTTGGTTAGCTGGCCCGGGCCAGGTTCGAACCCACCAACTTCAGTCTGTGTGGCTGGCGCTGTAACCACTGTGCTATGGGTGCCAAGCCACAACTAAGGATTTTTTTAAAGAATCTAATTAGTTTATGCTAAACTCTTTCTAGTAGCTGTAAGATAGGAAAAGTTAAAAGAAATTGGAGATAGGAAAAGTTAAAAGAAATTGGAGAAACATGGAATACCAATCGGAAAGACCGCAGCACCGATAGCCCCTCCACGTCTGCTAGACCCAGTTCCATTAAACTGAGGGAGACAATAAATCCGTCAAAAATGTTCCAACCTTCTTGGAAATAATAGTAGGGATCCATGGCTATGAGCTTCAGGAACATTTCTGCTGTGAAAATTCCAGTGAAAACCTAAAGAGGGGGATGCAGGAGGTAAAAAAAAAAAAAAAAAAAAATAATAGAAAGAAAATGCACTTATTATTATCTTTGAATATGACATAACCAAGAAGCCTCATGAGCCAACCAACCGTAGTTAACTTCTGCATCTGAGGACATCAATACTCTGATGCTCCAAGGGTACAGGGGTACATGATGCAGGAAAATCTTCTTATTTTCCTTTTGAGTGAAGTCCCCAGCCCCAAGTTCCCATCTTTGTTGCCAGACCCACTCAATTTACACTGTTCAAGAATACAGTTAAAAAATACAATACCATGAGGTGACTCCTTTTAAAGGGTCAGCCATCATTTAAACGCAAATGCTTGGGATGTTTGCTTTTTAAAAAAAAAGATTACTGTGTTATTTGATTAGAAGAATACAGTATTCTTCCTAATTTAATATTATGTGTATTATCAAACCTAGACATTTGCTACAGGGATTCTTATTTTAAATTGTAAAGCAATAAAATATTGCCCAAAATGTGGAAATTCTATAATTTCAAACTATTTTTGTTATATATTATTTTTCTGGGTTATTTTCAAATGCATATATGTTTTGGCAGAGTTGTAAAATCATTAAACACATAGCATCTTGGGTCTTATTTTTCACTTATCATTACTCTATCCGAGTTGGTGTACAGTTTTCCTAATTCCCACTTTTATTGTCTGCATAAAATTCTACTGGGGGGTGGGGAATATACCCTCCAAGAATTTTCTTATTGTTGGAAACTTTGGTGCTTCCTTTTGATTTTTTCACTATGATAATCAATGATATAATAAATGTTTCAGATTTGCAATATATTGTGTGCAAGAATGACTTCTTCCCTCCCTGTCTCCTACTTTTCTGCCTGATAGAGCACCCTATGTTCCCCAAGGCCTCTGTCTCCTGTAGGCTCTACTAAGGTAAAAAACAGGCAGTATGGAAGTCAAATCCCATGAATGCCCATCTTCACAAGACAAATGTACTCACTGTAGTCTAACCACACAACATCAGACTCTTACTGAATATTATAGTTTTCAAAGAGAGGACCTATTTTTAAATAATAGATTTAAAACTATTCTAATAAATTAGTACTTCTAATTTCCTATTTATCAAGTTTACATATAAAGAAGTTTAAGGAAAATGTCAAAGACACAGCCTGAGGATGGAATTAAAACTGGTAAAAAATGCTAGGCTTACAAATAGTACTATTTGGAAAAATACTCAGTTAATAAATTGCAATAACAAAATAAAATGATGATGGAAATATATCAAAATTGATAAGTAGGCTCTACATTTTTGGTGTCCATATACTTTTCTGTGGTTTTCCATTTTTCTAAATTGAAGATACTATGTATTATTTTTTTTCTCCTTTTTTTTTAGTCGTTTGTTTGTACAGTATTCTAAAACTACAAAATATTAATTCCCTCAAAGAGATGCAGTTAAGCAAAATCAAAGTTCATAGTACAAGCCAAGCCACAAATGGAATATTCCTTTGAGTGAGCTCAGGGTAAACAGGATATTATTAAACCCTGCCATGCATTTGCTCCTTACTGTAAATCCATTTATACATAAAAATGTTAGCCTGCTTAACATTTACACTAAATAGAGACTCAGTTTGTTATCCCCTTGGTTCTTCGTAAACACAGAGAATGTACTCAGTAATAAGCACTGGCTAACAGACCTTGGAATACCTATATTGTATTCTGTGGGAACCATGCTCCTAAGGAAAATCAACATACCATACTGTAGGAACCATGGCTCCTAAGGGAAAATCAACAATGACATAGTTACATGGTGTTATCTGTCACCAGGATAAATGGCCTCAGACACTTGGCAGAGATTGTTTGTGACAGAGGTCAGCTACCACATTACTTCAATACATGGTATGTATAAAAATATATGTGTGAAGGAATTACTTTTTAAAATATTAAGAACTGGATTTAAGGATATCCCTATGATGCCACTCTTATTTACTCTGTAACATACCAAGCAGAAGAAAAGAAAATGAAAAGCAGTTTATCAGCAATTGTATATCAGTGTCTGCTATAGTTGAATGTATCCCCCAAAATTCATGTGTTAGAAACTTGATCCCCAATGCAACAGTATCGGGAGGAGGGGCCTAATAAGAGATGATCAGAATGCATTAATGTTATCTCAAGAGTAGGATAATTATTTCCAGGATGGGCCTTCTTTGGCCCTTGAACCTCAAAAATGGGATGACACAGATACCTTCACCAGATACCACCGCCATGCTGCTGTACTTCCCATCCTCCAGAACTGTAAATAAATTCCTGTCCATTATAAATTACCCTGTCTATGATACTCTGTTATAGCAATCCATGACTAAGACAGTGTGACAGTGTTACTCCTGTGAATGTCATCAAATATTAACCTAAGTATTCATGTTCTTCTTCTTCTTTTTTTAGTATTCATGTTCTTATGCAGCAGTTCTCAAAGTGTAGTCAAGGATCCTTGGGGCCTCTAAGATTCTACAAGGAGTCATGAGGCCCTTCCTTTGTCAACATCAGTAGTCCCCTCTCATCTACAGTTTTGTTTTCTGTGGTTTCAGTGACTTGAAGTCAACTGTGATCTGAAAATATTAAATGAAAAATTCCAAAAATAAGCAATTCTACGCTTTAAGTTGTGTGCTGTTCTGAGTATCATGATACACTCTCACACTGTCCTGCTCTGTTCTGCCCAGGACACGAGTCATCTCTGTCAGTGTATTTATGCTGTATATACTACCCACCCAGTTAGTCACTTAGTAGTGTTCTTGGTTATCAGACTGACAAACCATAGTTCAGTTATGTGTTGCTTAATGATGGGAAAACAGTTTGGAAAATGTGTCCTTTGCTTGTCACTGAGCAAACATGATAGAGTTATGTAAACTAGATGGTATGTACATTTTTATTTATATAATTTTTTTCATATGAAAAACTTAAGGTCCCAGTACTATTACTGAAAGTGGCACATAGCAAGTTTCTCTCTAAGCCCCACGATAATCCATGAGGCCACCATACATGTGGTCCACTGTTGACCAAAACATCATTATACATATAGTGATTAAATATATAGGGATGGTACTATCTATATAGGTTTCAGGCATCCACTGGGAGTCTTGGAATGTACCCCTCTTGGAGAAGAGGGCACTACTATACATATCTGTGTGAAGCCAGCTTTCCTTCCTTTGCTTGAATCAAAATAACATATCATAACAGACTGACTGCAGAGGCAGATGAGATAAAGTAGCTGTCTTCTATAGTGCCAGACATGAAAGAGATTTATCAAAATGTCAAATACCATTCTTCTATTTTTTCCTAGAAAATAGTTTTCCCCATAAAATGTTACTTTTATTAATGTATAATGGGTATGATATGTAATTTTTAAATAAAACAGTAAATATTTAAATATTTTCTTAGTTTTAAATGTGGTAGACATAACCCATGAAACAAAAGCTCTTTAGCACTTTTTAAGAATATAATGGAGTCATCAGCCTCCCAAATGACTGAGAACTATTGTTTCACAGAACATCCTGAATTCAAGTCAGCTTATCTTTCTAGTGTGGATGACCCACTGGGTAAAGGCCTGAGAAATGGTAATGCCAGGTCACCACATAAAGTTTACAATGCCCTGAGATTGGGGTGTTTCACTTAGGGGTTACTCTGGGGCTTGGGAAGGGTAGGGGAGAAGTCATACACCTCCTTCTGCTATAATTGGTTCTGCAGACAAAGTTTAGGGTCATTTGAAAGTGACAAGGGCTTGGCATGTGCCTCTCTTAGAAAGGGGTGAATCAGCACCTGTTCTGTAGCAGATCCTCCCTCAGAGTTAATGAAATTCAATCTGATAAAAGCCCTATGTGTACTGCAAATGTGACATGAAAAAAAAAATAAAACAACCCAGTATGTGACCATGAAAAATAATGGCTCTTTAGGCACTTGGTGGCCAGGAGGTCGGGTGACCAACTCATTCCAGTTTGTCTGAGACTTTTCTGGTTTTCACACTAAAGTCTGTGTTTCAGGTCTCTACTGAGGGTGATCAACTTGTACCAGTTTGTCAACCACAAAATAAGGTTGTATGCTATTTCACAAGGCAGTCAATCTCATTTTTTCCTTCGGTTCAGTCAAAGGGTCTATTCAAATCTCCAAACCTTTGAAAATTCTGCTCCTGATCACACAAATGCAGTTCCTAAGATTGATAATGTACTTTTAACTATTCCAAAAACTTCTGTATAGGTTCTTATTTCATACTGCCAACCACTGATGACAAGGTATTATCCTAACTACACATTCAATACATTTCTGGACAGAAATCAATTATTTTAGGTTACACTATATCTAATAAGAATCCAAACCAAAATGTTCTAACTTCTGCGTTCTTTCTGCCAAACTCAGACTGCCAGAGAAAGTACATCTTTGGGTTGACTGGCAGCAAAGTACATCTCTGGGCTTCCAGATGTATTGTCCAGAATACACTCATGATGTAAGTTTCCCTCAGGTCTAGTACACATCCAACTGCCTTACTTTGTATCTTCACTTGGTGCAAAGACACAGAGAACTTTTTATTTTAAACTTCAAACATGTTCCTTATGCAGTCATCCCCATTTCCTCCCACTTCTAAAACCCAAATCTAGGCACCATTCTTGATTTTTCCCTTTACCCTCCCAACCAGCCATTTACTACTCTCCGTCTTCATTGATAAGTGTACATTGACTCTCCCCCTGAAAACTTGTCAGCATGGTGCTTTCTTATTTTAGAATTAGGTTCTGGATTGGCTTGTCTTATGGAGTCCCTGAATATTAGCTGCCAGTCTTCTCTTCTCTTCCCTTTCTTCGCTGATGGTTCTGAGCAATGTCTTCATAACTCTAATTTAGGTATCCCCTTAAATCCTTTGTAGATTGTTAAGAAAGAAAAATAACATTATTTGTCACCCTGGTCTGAGAGGAGTTCTGCTCATGGAAGGTAAAACATCTCTCAAAAGCCCTTGAAAATCGAGGACTGATTGTGTAAAAAGCAAGGGAAAGTAAAGACTTTTTAACACAATGAGAAAAAAACTCTAGAGGGAAGACACCATCGTTAATTAAATTAATAATCTACCACCATCATTAATAAAAATTACCAAGCTATATTTCTTGTTACTTAAATATTAGCTACCAAAATAAAAGCTTCTATCTATACAATATTGTTGATTGGTTTAAAATTCTGCACGATAGGTTACATAGTGTACCCACTCATAGGCACCTTTCACAGCTAGACCTGGGGAATGTCCTGTTTCAAGACTATAGATATCTTGTTGGGCTGCGGCACAGGGTGGACATGGCAACAGTGAGCCTGGTGTGTGTCACCAATGCCAGACATGGAGCCTGGAGAGATCACAGATCACCTCAGATGTACACCAGGGAACACGATAGGTGGCAAGGCTTAACCAGATAAAGGATCCCTTTGCCATGTGTTTTCAGAGTAAGAACTAAAAACGATATTACAAATACTTTAATAGTGTATGAATAGGACACAAGGTTGAAACTGTGTGTGTGTGAGAGAAAGAGCACGCACGTGTGTGGGTATGCAAGAAACATTAGGCAGAGATCATGCTCAAATTAAGTGGTAACAGCTAGATTTGAACTTGTCTGTGGTGCAACTCCTAAGGAATTTTGAGGCCCAGATGATCTAGATGATTCTTTCCAATTATTTCTTTACTGTCTATCAAAACTTCGGAGCTTCTGAACACATGGTGGGTCCCAGGAAGGACATGGAAGTTCCTCACCTCTTTCCCATTAAAAAAATAAAATGAAAAACCAAAATTCAATCAACTCCTGATTTTTATAATAAAGTAAAACAGATAATCATCAAATCATAACTATATGACTTCAGAATATACTAGTAATCTATTTTTTTAAAACAACATACTTATCTTTAAATAATATAATAAATTAAATATATGACTTAAGTTAATGTTAAAGTAAATTTGGCACAGATCAACTAATGGTAGAAACTAGATGATGGCCCAGAAGTGGATGAGAGGGGAAAACCAGCCTAGAATTGAAAATGTCCCATAAATGGTTTCTATATGGATAATTAAGACCCAGCAAAGGAGGTAAATTTACAGTTACATTTAACCTCCTAAAAGAGCTGGCCTATTTTGTGGTGGTTGTTACTTAAGGTGAAAGGCGAAGTGATTTGCTAGAGCAATGCAGGAGTCAATGTGAGACACAGAATGAGAAAAAAATCCAGAAGTCCTTGGCTCAGGTTGCTGAAAGCAACCCACTGTACCATGCCTCCCATTCAGTCACCATGGTTGGTTTTCTGCCAATAGCTCCTAGATGACGTCTTCAAAGTTCTGCAGAAAGAGGAAACAGCCAAGGGATCACAATAGTGAGCAGGAGCGGCTGGTGCCGTGACATGTGTGGAAGCATTTGTCCTCCAATTAACTAGTACTTTCTTTTCAATTAAACTCCAGCTTTCAGTACCAGAAAAAGATGTGCTATAGGCAAAACACATTGAAACCATAACACCAGGAGTCAGTGCTCCATCTTACCAGGTTTCCTACAGTCAAGACATGTTCAAACTGCGGCGTCATAGGATGGTGCTCCATTGCCATAAACAGTGTATTCAGGACAATGCAGATGGTGATGGCTAAGTCCACGAAAGGGTCCATAACTATCAAGTTAACGATCTCTTTCAGTTTTATCCAGTATGGGTGACACTCCCAGATGAGGAAAGTGTTGGCAAATTTATACCAGCATGGTGGGCACTTTCTCTGAGACTCTTCCAGTTCTGTAGTAAGTAAAGAACAAAGATGGCCCCTCAAGCACAGAGAGAAAAAGGAAGAGGACACACTATTAATCCTCACGGGTCATTACCACTATTATTAACATGAGAATAAAGCTCCCTGGAGTGCTCACATTCCTAAGTGTTTTCCTTCAGTATTCTTTCTCTTTAAGGTACAGAGGAGGTATAATCAGTACAGGTCACTTCCCTGTTAACGATCTAGTTATAAATAAAACTCAGCCTGTCAGTACAGGAGTAGAGCACAGTGGTTAGGGCCTGGCCTCTCAGCTCTGACTCCTTGACTTTAGCTGGCTTTAGTGCTTACAAGGTAGACATTGTGAAACCTTGGGCAAGGCAACTGACTGACTGACTTCCGATGACTCAGCTGTAGAACAGTGCACCTGCTTTATAGGTTATAGGACTTAATGAATCCTATAACCTGTGGTCCCCACCCCGGGCCATGGTTTGCAGCCTAGTAAGAGCTGGACCACAGAGCTCCCCACCCACCCCAACCCTCATCCCTGGTCTGTGGAAAAATCGTCTTCTGTAAAACTTAGGAACCAGGTGACAAAGCAGGCAGTGAAGCAGGCAATCCAGTGAAAATTGTCTTCCATGAAAATAGTTCCAAAAAGGTTGGAATTGCTGCTATAACCTCATTTAATGAAGTTATATGAGTTGGATTAAAGATTCAACATTGGTATGTGTAGAGCACTCAGCACAGTGCCTGGTATAAGGTAAGTCCTCAAAAAATGGTAGGCATTACATTATATATCATATTATTAAATTATTATCAGACAAGCCATCAAAATCACAGACTTTGAAGTCAGACAAGTCTAGGTTCAAATGCCAGCTCAGACACTTATAGTTATGAGACGTTGGGCAAGTTACTCTGATTTGCTATGAGAATTAAATGAGCTAAAATATAAAGTGTACATACATCCTAGCATATAATAAATGCCACAGAACTACGTGCTATCATTATTATTTTCATGGGCATATCAGTGTTGTCAGCCAAGTCACCCTATGAAATGCCTCTATTTCGTTCTCAAAGAAGCACAGCTAACTGTCCATGCCCAGAATTCACAACTCAAATCTGAGTTAGGAACACAAACCACGTTCCTTCCCCCAGGACCCTCCCTCCCTTGTTCTTTCTCTTCCTTTCTCCTTCACTCTCTCCCTTTCCAACTCTCCTCCTTTACTTATCTCTTTCTTTCTATAGCTTCTTCCTCTTTCTCTCCCCAGGTCCTCATGCTTTTCTTTTTCTTTCTGTCCTTCTTTTGTCTTATCTTCACTGTCTCTTTTAGAAGCAGAATGTGTTTTTTCAAACAAGATCTCAGGTGAGTCTCAATATATAAAATAAACCAGAAACTGCTCTAGATAAAGTAGAAATAGGAGCGTGGGGCCCAGTCTGATGGATGTCTTCTTGCCCTAAGGTGCTCCCCAGAACTGGGGTTCTGATACAGACAGAAAGATCACTGGAGATGATCTCCAAGGTCAGTTACAAAGCAAAAGTTTAAAAGAATAATTAGACATCAAAGACATAGAGCCACTCACCTGGGTAGTTATAATCTAGGCATGAGACCAGGGGTACCAAAGCTCTCCTCAAGCAAGTATCATATCATAGCTAGAATTATGAAATTCCAAGGACCTTGATATAAGAGGATGCTTTTTAAGGGGTGTAACTTTGAGAAGCTATCAGAATGATAATCCTTAGAAGTGAGGTATTAATTCTACAGGGTGGCTGTGACAGTTAACACCCACCCCACCCCATGCTACCGACAATACCAAAACATTTAGGGAATCAAAAAAGTCCCCTAATAGTTCACTAAAACAAAGATGGCTCCCTTAATAAGTCTGCTTTGCCTTTCCAACCAGCTGGATAGTGCCTATGATGATGGCTTTATTTTAAATGGGGTGGGTTTTGTTGGGTTTCTGATTGGCTCCCTGGTTGCTAAGAAAATGGTTGCCTTGGTTTTTCAGAATTAAGGGCCACAGCAAGCGCCACGTGGGAGTCTGTGTGGGAAAGGGAGTCTGTGAAGAAAACTTGCTTTGGCTTCTTCCTTACAGAACTCCCTCCCTTCCTGAGGTAAATTTAGTTTTCTTCCCCAAAAAAGAAAATGAAAAGGTTCTCTTATTTCCATAAATTCTTATAGTACATATTTGGGAATTTAGTTCCGTTCCTTTTTTAATCCCCTCCCTTCTTCAAATGTCTGCTGCTTGCTGGCACGTGGCGGTTGAAGCCGTGACTGTTCACATTCCTGACAGTTGACACAATTGTAATGTTTTACAATGAACTAGGTTTCTAGTTTTGCCAGACAGCAAAGAAGGGTTTCCTTTTTTTTTTTTTTTGAGACAGAGTTTCGCTTTGTCACCCTCGGTACAGTGGCGTGGCGTCACAGCTCACAGCAACTTCAAACTCTTAGGCTGAAGCAATTCTTTTGCCTCAGCCTCCCAGTAGCTGGGACTATAGGCACCTGCCACAACGCCTGGCTATTTTGTTGTTGTTGCAGTTGTCATTGTTGTTTAGCTGGCCCAGGACGCATTCCACCCCGCCAGCCTGGGTGTATGTGGCTGGTGCCCTAACCACTGCACTACAGGTGCCGAGATGAAAAAAGAGTTTTCCTACCCTATTGGGCACCAAGAAGATTCTCACAGGGACACCAACAAGTTTTGATCTGCATTCACTTGGAAGGGAAGAGCCTTTTCACTCCCACAGAAAGTAACACGATATGGAGCTGCAGGAGCTAGACAGGATCTTTAGTGAATAAGAGGGTTTAGAAAGGGACTTGCAACTCTGCACATTGTTACTTAGCCCCATATGCCTGAAATGGCTAAGTATTTGATCTGTGGGAATAGGTTAACACCTGGGGGTGAGATGTCCAAAGGTCTGTCGGGTTGTCCTTACTTTACTTCTGGACATTTTCAGAGAGGCTGCTGTAGGTCTCAACCTCAGGGGTACTGGGAACTGTTTTTAGAGAGGACCCCAAAAGCCCACCTGGGGTGGGCTTTGGTAGGCCAGGAGATTTCTGAAGGCAGGAGCTTCTTTCAGTTCAATTCGACAACCTGTACGCCCCTTCCATGTACTGGGTACAGGAACACGCTGCTGAAGATGACCCTCCCCCCTTACTAAGCTTATAGCTGCACAGGCAAGGCAGAACCAGACAGTGATTGCCCTGACACTCCACACTCTTGGCTGTATAACAGAATAAATAGGCCAGTGGGATGCCAGCTACTGGGAAAGCTGAGGCTGTAGTAAGTTATGATCAGGCCACTGCACTCTAGCCTAGGTGACAGAATGAGATCCTGTCTCTAAAAAATATAATAATAAAAGAATAAATAAACTGTCGCAGCAACAGCTTTGGCCAGTTACCTGCAGGGGAGTTTTAGAAACTGTTTTACCAAGTACCATCACTGCCTCCTCATTCTTACTTCGCCAACTATTTCCCCTCTGCCACAGCTTTGCTGCTTTGAGAAGTGAGGCTACACTACTCTCTGCCTGCACCCTATACCCAGCCCTTCACTAGAGCTTATGGCTCCACTAGTGGCGAACTCTGCTGAATTTGTTGGATGCTGCTGAGCATGTCTGCAACAAGACAGGGTGAGACAGTGCAGGCAGGGTATTCTTATTGTGAACAGGATTCTGGAATTCAGTGTGGTTTCTAAATCATTAAGTAGGCATGAGTCTGCCTCTTTGGTTTTAAATAATAATTATTTTAATCTTTAAGTTAAAACAATGTCCAAGTTTCCTAACTGAAACTCTGGGGAACAGGAACAATTATTCAGTCAATTATTGTTGTAGGAGGCATTAAATATAGAGAAGCCAATGGTTAAACGGGCATGGATCTTTTGTTCCTTCTTTTATTATTCAGGTCCAACCATTTATCACTCTTTGCCTATAGCCGTTCTGTCCTACCAGCTGTAACAAAGTGGCCAAATACAAGGCAAGGGGATAGGAGGAACATGAGAGCAAGAAATGGCAAGACAGGTACAGAATTTGTGAGCATCAGGGCTGAGAAGAGAGGTCAAAGATTGGGAATGGCTTCTTCTCAGCAACGCAACCATAGCTGTCTCTCTACTACCCCCTGAGCTACCCTCACAGCTATTTTTTACAAAATGTGTGTGACAGTCAGTAGGGGGTAGAGAATGAATATAGCAGGACACAAGAAGGAAGAAGAGAAAGAAAAGGGATGAAAGGAGCCCTGCACCACAACACTCCTTCCAGCACTTCAAGCACAGCACAAGTTTTTCAGTTCGACAAACTTTGTGCATCTACTTTTGCCAGAAACTGTGCAAGGCCACTGCAACAATCAATAAATAATTGCTGCACTGCATTGATGATGCTCCTGTTCTGATGCCTCTACTAATAATAAAATGTGCTTTTGTTGCTTGCAATAGATACTCAGAGAAATTCTATCTTGGTCTCCAAGTGAATAATAAAATTAGCCAAAGTTTATAAGCTCATGTTCCTTTGCTTAGAATTACTGTCACATCTATAGTTATTTGCCTGCAATCTCAAAGTACAAGCTGCAAAGCTTAAAAGACGTTCTATCGGCTCGGCGCCTATAGCTCAACCGGCTAAGGCGCCAGCCACGTACACCTAAGGTGGCAGGTTCGAATCCCCAGCCCGGACCCGCCAAACAACAATGACGGCTGCAACCAAAAAATAGCCAGGCGCTGTGGCGGGCGCCTGTGGTCCCAGCTACTTGGGAGGCGGAGGCAGGAGACTCGCTTGAGCCCAGGAGTTGGAGGTTGCTGTGAGCTGTAATGCCATGGCACTCTACCCAGGGGGACAGCTTGAGGCTCTGTCTCAAAAAAAAAAAAAAAAAAAAAAAAAGATGTTCTATCAATGACCTCAAAGACAATTAAAGAAAATAGAAAGCTGTTCAGGCAGCTGAAAGCAATCAATATTCTTTTTACTTGATACACACACAAGATTAGTTTAGTCATGGTGTAACTCCCTGCAGTAGGTGGGGAAGTAAACACCCTCAGGGAGTTCTTTTCTAAGGATTCTCCCTCCACTGCAACCTCCTCCTCCCTCCCCCCACACACACCAGAAATGGCCATAAATGACTCAAAAAATAACTTGTCCCAAGGACACCAGAATAATTTTGAGTTTTCATATCTCAGGTTAAGCCTGAGTATCTGAACTCTGAAGAACAGCAATCCGAGGCTTTAAAAGTAGCCTAGATCTAGATGGGACAACTCAGCTAAATCAACATGAATCAAATGAAGACCATACACTCAGAATCAGTCAGAATCTTGTGAGAGAAAACCTGTTACTGAATTTACCTACAGAAAGAGCCTCAGATGCAGACCACAACTGGGGACTAATGGAAAACATTCCTCAGCATGCCAGAGGAACCACCAAATACAGAGAATCCCAGGCCCTGATGGCAACATTACTGCAGACAGGCTAGATTCAACACTGGCTGCTCTTTCCCTGTGGCACGGAGCGCCTGAAGGAAGAAGGGCTTCAGCTTATCCACTCACACATCAAATATATTTATGGATATGTGGGGGTGTTCAAAGAGAGACAGAATTAGGTGCAATCAAAATGCACAGTACATTCTTCCTTAGGGGAAAACTGAAAGGGCTGTAAGTAGTTAAAAAGGAAAAGAGGAAGATATGTTTTGGGGTCGAGGCCATGAGGAGGATTCCACATTTTATGTCTCTGCAGCAATTCAGCCTACGTTCGTTCCTTTGTGTCTTACAACACCTCACTGGCTGTCCAAGATGACAATTCCAGAGGCTCACTGGGCTCCTCTAGCTCATGTGTGTGACTTCTTCACATGGCTTACTGGTCTGTGTACAATGATGGCAGCAGATATCAAGTCCTTATATGATTCTCTGCATGTGAACTTGGGAAGAGAATTTGTGATCCTGGTTTCTAAAACTAGTAGGCTCTATTCCTAAAGCTCAGAGACAGTTTTCACAAAACTCAGACCAGGGCACAGGGATTATATTTAGCATGCATATTCAGTATTTGTATTCCAGCAGTTTGCAGTGACATCATGGGGCACATACCTTCCACCAGTGTATTTGTAACAACACTCATTATACTGTTGATTCTGTCCTTCCGCCCATAAGAGGCCAGTTGGTCCATGGAAACTAAAAGAGATCCAGGGCCTTTCTTCTTAATTTCCACCTCAGTTGTAGCCTAAAAAAAAAAAATAACAAATAGGGTGAGTAAAGTCTTATAAATACAAAGCTGGTCCTTACTGGGAAGATAGACCAGAATGTGGTCTTCATTACATTTTCACACTTTAATTCTATAGTCCTTTTCACTTCAAGATATACAGTGAAACAGATTGGCCATGAATTGACCTTAGTTCTACAAGTGATAAGACCGAGTCATTTAATCTGGTTGAGACTCAAACACCACACCTGGTTAATTCCAAACATAGAGCAGAAAGACCAGATTCCTTTAGTGATATAGGCACCAGCAGCAGACCCTGAGTTTTCTTGTCCCAATCTCACACCCACAGCTTTTGACTAGAATTGGTCCAAAGGATAAAGTAAGTCAAATTCACCTTTATTTGAAATTTTATAAGGCCGAGGCCATGATCACACTGAGTGTTTCTTCCCTATATAGAAGCATTGTCACTCTAATCAACTGCCCCTTCCAAAAGCCAAACCTGGACTTAACCGAACATCAGTAAACTGAAGGTCTAACCCACGTCTCCTCCAAGACACTATAAGGAAGTACAGTAAGATTTTGCTATGTTAAACATACTATATCATAGAATGTTTATCTTGCCCTTTTTCTATTTTATTAATCTGCAGTGATCAAATTCCTAATGGAATAAAAATGTCAGAAAACATCATCAGATGTTTTTTAAAAAGTAATATTTACTAAAAATATTGTTACATGCCCCACCCTGGACAATACTGATATGGTAGATTATAGCAAAAGCTTTCTTAATGTCCCTTACTTATGATCTTTGTGACTATTCTACATTAGATTGGGATTAATGGAGTCATTTAAAACCTTGCTCTCTAGTAACCATATTGTCCACTGTGCCATGTCACCCATGTAAATGTGACTGCTCCTTCCACAGTGAGGTAAGAGGGCAGAGACAGTCACCACCCTGAGAGGACGTTTGTACAGTGCTCAAGAAGTACATGGCTGATCCACACCAGGATGATCCTAACTCTGTGGAGAGGAAATAAGTACCTCTGGATAACCACTTCAAAAAGCCCTCCTGTCCTTCTATATGTTTAGATTTGAAGGACTGAACAGAAGAAAGTTCCTGGTAGATTATAAGATTTGTCTTATCAAAGCGTTTCATCAGATCGTTCTACTAATTCAGACATTTGGTTCACCTGCAGGTCTTGATTGTTTTGTTTGTTTGGCAGGGATACAGAAGAAGTGAAAGGAAAAATAACTGATTTTCTTGGGAATTTCTGGCTGCATTACTATACAAATATCTATGTATATAAGGATGACCTATTAACCATTATTTCAGATCATAAGATATATTTCTTTCTTTCTTTCTTTTTTTTTTTTTTTTGAGACAGAGCCTCAAGCTGTCCCCTGGGTAGAGTGCCATGACATCACAGCTCACGGCAACCTCCAACTCCTGGGCTAAAGCGAGTCTCCTGCCTCAGCCTCCCAAGTAGCTGGGACCACAAGTGCTCGCCACAAAGCCTGGCTATCTTTTGGTTGTAGCCATCATTGTTGTTTGGTGGGCTGGATTTGAACTCACCACCTTAGGCGTATAAGGCTGGCGCCTTAGCCACTTGAGCCACAGGCGCCAAGCTGTAAGATATATTTCTTTGAGGAGCTGTTTTTGCTACAATTCTCAGCCAAATATTCATGACATTTTATAAATCACATTAAACTATTACATTTGAAAAATGATAGTCATCTAAAAACACAGAGGGGGCCCCATACAATAGACATTTATTTCTGCCACCGTACTGGTCCTAGATTTTTAGAACAGACTGTCACTTGATAATCCCTATTTGAAAGCTAAAATAATTTTTAGCTTGGGTTTAGTAAATCCACATAAATTAAAAAAAATTCACCTCCAAACGTAATATTATGACAGAACAATTATTATTTGTATCTTTCTATATAAAATGAAAGTAAACTATGGCAGAGATATGTAGGGACAACTTCTATAATAGCAAAATTTATTGTATAACTTTTTAATTATAGAACATAGCTTAATTTTCAAAGAAAAGAATAAAAGACATCAAGAAATAAAAATTTCAGGCAGGGCATGGTGGCTGACGCCTGTAATCCTAGCACTCTGGGAGGCCAAGGAAGGTGGACTGCTTGAGTGCAGGAGTTTAAGACCAGCTTGAGCAAATGTGAGACCCTATTGCTACTAAAAATAAAAAAAAACCTAGCTGGGCATTGTAGCAGGTGCCTGTAGTCCCAGCTACTCGGGAGGCTGAAGCAAGAGTATTACTTAAGTCCAAGAGTTTGAGGTTGCTGTGAGCTATGATGCCACAATAGTCTACTCAGGGCCACAGAGTGAGAGACTCAGTCTCAAAAAAAAAAAAAAAATTCAAAAAGTGGGGCGGGGGCTCAGTGCCTGTGGCTCAAATGGCTAAGGCACCAGCCACATAAACCTAAGGTGGTGGGTTTGAATCCAGCCCAGGCCTGCCAAAACAACAATGACGGCTGCAACCAAAAAATAGCTGGGTGTTGTGGCGGGCACCTGTGGTCCCAGCTTGGGAGGCTAAGGCAAGAGACTCGCTTGAGCCCAGGAGTTGAAGGTTGCCTGAAGGGGGATAGCTGGAGGCTCTGTCTCAAAAAAAAAAAAAGAAAAAAAAAAGTGGGGCAGGGATGGGAAGGAGTGAGACCAGGGGCTTAGTAAGCTCCCACCTAACTGGTACAATGTAGGAGTATATGGCACACCTCTTGGGTGATGGACTCAAATACAAATTGGACTTTTCCTAACAAATGCAATGTAACCTAAATTTTATGCACCCTTATATTAATCTGAAATTTAAGAAAACAATCATCATTATCATAAAAGGGGATATCAAATTCTATAGCCATTAGTAGGATAATAAGGATATACTATGAACAGCTTTATGCCATTTCATTTTAGATAAAATGGACAAACTTATCAAAACTAACCCAAGAAAAACCTGAAAATCTGGCTAGCCTCAGTGGTTTATGCCTGTAATCCTAGCAGACTGGGAGGCCAAGGCAGGAGGATCCTTTGAGCTTAGGAGTTTGGGACCAGCCTGAGCAAGAGCAAGATCCTATCTTTGCTAAAAATAAAAAATTAGCCCTGTGTTGTGGTGGGCTCCTGAGTCCCAGCTACTTGAGAGGCTGTGGCAGGAGCCTCAGGTTTGTGGGCACCTGAACCAGGAGTTTGAGGTTGTTGTGAGCAAGAAAGTGAGACTTTGTCTCAAAAAAAAAACAAAAAAAAACAAAAAACCAAACCAAACAATACCCCCCAAAACCTCTCAGAAAATCTTAATAGCCCATATTAGTTAAAGAAATTGTAATGAAAAACCTCTGACCACAAAGAAAAGCTCTAGATAGTTTTGCAAGTGAATTAAATCAAATTTTAAGGAATAATACTACTCTTACACAATTTCTTTCAGAAAACAGAAGATAAGGGAATATGTCTCAACTTGCTTTATAAAAACTAATACAACCCTGATACCAAACTTGACAAAAACATTACAAGAGACTAGTATCCCTAATGAAAAGATGCAAAATTCTTTTTTTTTTGTTTTCAGTTTCTTTTTTGGCCAGGGCTGGGTTTGAACCCACCACCTCTGGCATATGGAGCCAGTGCCCTACTCCTTTGAGCCACAGGTGCTGCCCCAAAATTCTTAACAAAATATAAGTAAATAGAATCTAGCAATATATGCAGAGGATGATACATCATGACCAACCACAGAGGTTAACCCAGGAAAGCAAAGTAAGTTTAACATTAGCAAAAAAGTCAATATTATTCATCACATTCATTGGATAAAAAAGAAAAAGGATATGATCATCTCATAGATCCAGAAAAACATTTAACAAAATTCAATACCTGTGCATAATAAAAATCTCTCAGCAAACCACAAACAGAATGTAGCAGTTTCTTTCTGATAAAAGACATCTATGAAAACCTATAGCAAATATCATAGTTCTTGATGAAATATTAAATTGTTTTCCTTTAATAATGGAAATAAGAATCACTTCTCTTCAATTTTTTTTATCTTAAAGTCCTAGATAGTACAATAAAACAAAATAAATAACTAAAGGCATAAGGATTGATGTTGCCGTTATTCACAAAAAGTACTGTCTATGTAGAAAGCCCTATGGAATTTCCCCCCAGAACCCTCCAAATCTAATAGAACCAATATGTTAATTTATCAAGGTCATGAGATGCAAGGTCAATATAAAATAATCAACTGTGTTTCTATATTCTGGCATCAAATACTTGAAAAATAAATTTTAAATTATCTTTTCATTATATTAATACCAATAAATAAATTAAGGATATGCAAGACTTCCCCACTCCACTGCAAACTATACGACTTTGTTGAAAGCAACTTGAGAAGTCCTAAATAAACAAAGAAGATACCACAGTCATAGACTGTATTACAATTACAAATACAGAGACTGTAAGACTTATTACAATTAAGATGCTCAGTCTCCCTAAATTGATCTGTACCATCACAGTGCAACTCCTATCAAAATTCCAGGCTTTTTGGAAGAAACTAAAAAGGTGATTCTAAAATTCATATTCAAATGCAAAGCTCTAGAATAATCTTTTTTTTGTTTAGTCTTACTCTGTTGACCCTTGTGGAATGCAGTGAAGTCACTGTAGCTCACAGTAACCTCAAAATTCTCAGTGCAAGTGATCCTCCTCGCCTCAGCCTCCTGAGTAGTTGGGACTACAGGTGTGCACCATAACACCTGGGTAATTTTTCTATTTTTGGTAAAGGCAGAGAGAGTCTTGCTCTTGCTTAGGCTGGTCTCAAACTCCTTGCTTCAAGGAATCCTCCGACCTTGGCATCCCAGAGTGCTAGGACTGCAGTCATGAGCTACTGTGCCCAGCCCAGAATAATCTTAAAAATATCTAGAATAGCAAAATGATCTCTTGAAACATTATGTAATAATCTTTAAAAATATTATTTTTTGTTCAGAGGGTTTATGCTATCTCATTCCCAGAATGCAGACAAACAGACAAACAG